GCCAGTGCTTGTTGGCCCTCTTGAAGTGGTCCATGCACTTCGCCATATGCCAATCCGAATTCGATTCGATCAGTGAGTACTGCACGGGCTGACAGCGCCCAAACTGGTCCATCACCACAATCGTTAGTAGCTGATAGTTGTACCTGTAGGAAAGTCAAGCCAAATCTGGTAAATACCTAGGAAATCTGTGCTAATGCAAACAATACAGCTTACCGGCTCGTCTTGTGCGTACAGCCCATTTGAATGACCTCTGGGGGCATCAGCGGAGGGTCAGCAGGAACCTGATGAGCTCGGGGGTGCAGACTGTAGATTTCCTTGGTGAGCGGATGACTCTGTGTGTACACTGCTCTCTTCACCATGATGCCCCCATTTGCCGTCCGGCTTCTTAGTAACTTGAGCAACCATCTGAAACGGACAGAAGGTCCGGAGCAAGTTGTGGGATGTCCTTTTCCCGGTCGACCTCTCACGTTCTGACCAACCGTGTGTGCATATAAACTTGCGCTGATACGGCTCCATTTCAGGGGGGGGGGGGGGGGTAAAGGAATCTCGGTGTCAGAAACGCCTTGATACCGGACTTGTGCACGGAGATTTGCGTTCCGCCGTGCAACGTGAACGACCTCCTTAATCACTAGCTTCTGATGTGTGGATGTCATGTATTCTTGTAAATAGGTCTCCAGGTTTGCCCAGGTATCGTGGGCATGTTTGAAGGCTGGCACATGGTACAGATTCTCTCCTTCATCCAATTCACCAGCCAGTCTCTTATTGCCGCGGTGTACCTTTGCTTTGTCTGACGAGCGTGGTCGCTGATCCCCCAAACTCCGGTGTTCTTGTCCTCGCAAGCCCCTTTTTCTTTGTCCTTGCCTCCCTCGCTTTCATCCTCCTCGAAATCCCCCACCTCCTTCGACAATCTGGCCCTCTTCTCCATCATCCGCGTTACTGCCTATAGAACGCGAAAGAGCGGCTCGTGCAGACGCGGCTGATCATGTGCGAGCTGCTGTGGTGTTCGCACGCCTGGCTTCTTCTTGCTCTTCTTCCTGTAGAGCTTGTTCCGCCATCTGCGCCGTGATCATCAACGTCTTGTGTGGCCGCGCCATTGTAGTGCCGAAGAGGTGGTGGGAGTGTGAGCTGTGGCCACTGTGAGGCGTCAAATGAGGCGTAAGCCGGGAACTGCCATATAGCGCGCTCCTTGGAACTGATGGCTCCGAGACCAAAAGCTAAATAACGGTAAGAAAAAAGTCTTATTTACACCTGCTTCTAAACCTGGTTAACACCTGTTCGAAAAAACCTGGTCTAAAAGCTTGCCGTTTGAAATAGCCTGAAATAGGTCGCGTACCTCAGCGTTCTCTGGATTATATATTCAGAGTTTGTACAGAGGTGTGATTCTGTCTCAAAAAAAATCTATTAATGTATTCTCAATACTAAGAAAAAACTCTTTAAAATCATACACGCTAATTGAACAGTATTATACGATGTAACTGTTGTATCAGAGTGGCTCCCGGATAAATTAGTAAAAAAAATGGCGCTATTCACTCCCAAACTATAATGAGAGGCTACTAAGAAAATTGAAGATTCTTATCTTCATAGAAAATGGACCAATCAAACGATTTTCCTTTTCCGGTTTGATTTCCACATTTCC